TAGTTGCTGAATTTTAAATGAATAGTTAATAAATAATTTAATGAATTATTAATAAATTTTTAATGAATAGTTTTGATAAATAGTTGACAAATGGTTGACAAATGGTTGACAAATGGTTAACGAATGGTTGACGAATAGTTTACGAATAGTTAACAAATAGTTGACAAATAGTTGATAAATAGTTGACGAATGGTCAACGAATTTTTGACAAATAGTTGCAAATATAGTTGACGAATAGTTGATGAATAGTGAATGAATAGTTGATAAATTTTTGTCGAATTTTTAATGAATAGTTTTGATTGTCAATTTTTAAAGTTAACAATTTATTTATATAATTTTTTTTTGCTGAATTGTTTATTTTTTGCCGAATGTTATACAAGTGGTAGTATTTTTTGCTGAATATTACACGAGTGACAGTATGTCGAATAATTTTTTTTTGACTAGTATTTATTGAACTTTTAATAATTTTTCTTATAAATTATTTATAAAATAATAATTTATTATTGAATTTTTGATTGATAAATTTTTTATTAATAAATTTTTTATTGATGAATTTTTAATTGCTGAATTTTTTATTACTAAATTTTTTATTATCACTTTATTGCTAAAATAGTAATATATGAAGTAACAGTAATTAAAAAATTTTATCAATATTTTTATTTTTAAATTTAGTAATAATTCAATTATCAAATAATATAATTTTTTTTTTTTTAAAAAAAAATGATAATTTAGCCTTGTTTTATTAAAGTTTCAAGTCAGGACAAATGAATGCAGATACAAGAAATAGTTACTAATAAAACACTATTAGAATTGTCTGTGAGAGTTAAAATTTTATACTACTACTTTCACTTTGATTCCATAAGTTGATTACTCTTCAAGAGCTTTATCAGTCAAGGATATACTACCTGTTTTTCAGCTATTTTTAGTATTTTCATATTATGAAATTCTAACCACTCCAATTTATGGGATGGCTTGTTGTTGGGGAGAATTACTCAGATCAATCTAATTCACACACCAAGAAAAAAGATTTGTTGATTCTTCTAGATTCTCCCTAACTAATGTGCTCAGGTGAGATACGTCATCCCTCCAAAAAAATTTGACTCCTTTATGTCTCATCTACTATACAATCCAACTTTGCTATAAAAACTTTGTTTCGAATCTTTATCTATTTGACGAAGCTGAAAAAGAAACCTACTCAATGGCCAGAAATGGATGACTATAACCATAAAACCCAATTGTAATATCTTGTGACCTTTACCATGATCAGATGGACTCTTTTTTAAAGAAACCAATAATGTAAATAAAGAAGTGTCCTATATTCACCCACACTAGCACAATAACTTATAATAAATCACAGGTTTTTATAAAACTAAAAAAATGTATTCAGATATGTGAAGTAATCAATGGGAGCTTGTTTATATTCTTTTACTAATGTGAATTCTATCTGTTCAATTATGATGTGAGAAATTTTGTGCTACTCAAATTTAGGGTCAAACTGAGGTAGACAAAATCCTTCAGAAAAAACCAAGAACGAGCACTATGAGAAATAGATATATGACAAGAGAATGAAGAAGTTGTTTCTAATCATTTACCAGCTTCTGTGGTATTTCTCTATAGTATGAGATAATGGCACATTGGTTCTTTTTTCTTTTGGAACTTTCTTGCCATTGGTAAAAAAGATTTTTCCTTGATCTTTAAGATCACTAGAGATCAAGTTTTTGTTTAAAGAGAATAGTAAACAAGAGGAGAGGAAGTAGTTGATAACTTTTGAAGCTTCTGCAAGTTGGTTTAAGGAGAGTGGTAAGACTTTATTAGTATAGGAGTATAAAAACTTCTTGTGAACATTTTTTTTGTGTATGGTTAGAGAATCAGTGGAAAGAGTGAAAGTATTAAATGATTGTTAAATAATATAATTTTAACTAGTAAATAATAAATTAGTTATTATGTAAAAAATATGTAATATTGTAGATAGTTATATAAACTTTTTATTAAAGATTAAGCTATATGACATGATTATAGATTAAAAAAAAAAAAATAATATTATAGTAAGAATTTAATCATTCAATAAAGCTCATATTTAATATTAGTTATAATTTAATAATATATTGTATTATAACTTAAACCTTTTTTTAAAATAATTGTAGTAATTTTTAGGATTATATTAACTTTAAAAATAAGTGATAATAAAATCACGCTAAACTTTAATATATACAATATATCATTACTTTTTTCGAGTATAATTCTTTTATATACAGTAGTATATATTGTATATTATGCGCATAACAACAGTTTTTTTGACCCCTGGACTGATTCATTCCTTATACAACAATAACGCAGTACATTATGTAATGTAACGAAGTCGATGATTGGACGATCAATATTATCACGAACCAAGGATTTGTTTACATTAGAAAGACGGGCTTCTCCCTAATAGTCACCGAGTTGAAATTGGGTTTTTTAATCCATTATCTTTTTTTATTATCATAACTTCCGGAATTTCTATTTCTGATTTAATACTGGGAAATATGGAAACTTCTCTACCATTATCAACCGGACGGCGATTTTCTCCATCTCATGGCCGGGGTCGTGCCTCCACACTTCCTGCTTTATCAGGTCGTTCACGAATACCATCTCCATTTACTGGAGTTAAGCCTTTACAAGTAATGCAACAACCGCCAGAAGAAGAAGAAGGGGAAGAAGATATCATGATAAATTCTTTGCAGGGTCGACGTAATAACTTAAACGCGTACGGCCTTCCATCACGACATTCATCAAGAAATAATTCTTACTCTCGACCTTCACCACACAGCGTTCCCAGCAATTTGAACGACAAGATCAGAGTATGTGTACGTAAACGTCCACTCAGCAAGAAAGAGCTCGCTAGAAATGAAAAAGACATTGCTACTGTGAATAGTCCAAGGACTATTCTTATAAATGAGCCAAAGTGAGATATTGTTGACTCTCAAGTTCTATGTAGTTGATACTCAGAAAAGTCTTTGCGAATCGTTATCCATCACTAGTTAGCGGAGGGTGATTCACGTAATTTACTTATTCCATCAATTAGAATGAAAGTCGATTTGACCAAATACGTCGAACAACACGCATTCGTCTTTGATGATGTGTTTGATTATGAGGCAAACAACGAAGAGGTAGTCATGCATTTATTTGATTATTAATGTAAGAAGGAAGCGGATTCTTATCTGCACAATGCAATTGAATATTTTTAGGTGTATAAACGAACTGCCTTACCATTGGTAGAATATATTTTCCGAGGGGGTAAAGCTACGTGTTTTGCATAGTATCCTTGACCTTTGTTGATCGATCTTTTTTTTTTAGAAATGTGCTAAATTGTCAAAATCTTACGAAATTCATAATATCTTTAACCTTGAATCGATTTTTTGTGAAACAGTGGACAAACAGGTATATTAGTATGGCGTTAGATCTTGGGACGGATTCATGTAATGTCCCTGACATTAGGTGGTTTTTTAATATAATAATGTTAATAGGAAGTGGAAAAACTTATACTATGCTTGACGATAAACAGGGTAGGATCCTGAATTATGATGCACACCCTCGTGTTAACAAGTTAACTTCAATTATAACAATCATCACCTAGGTCTTTATGTTTTGGCGGCCCGTGACATATTTAATTTATTACAGAGACCAGAGTTTAATCATCTAGCGGCATACATTGGGTTCTATGAAATTTATCAAGGACAACTATATGATCTTTTAAACGAACGAAAGAAATTATTTGCCCGCGAAGATGGAAAAAAAAATGTCATAATTTCCGGTCTTCAAGAATATACCATTGATAATGTGGACGCACTCATGCAAGTGTTTGACTACGGAAATACGGTTAGAAGCACAGGTAAATAAAAGGTCTTTAATTGTATTCTTTGTTATTTAAAAGTTATATAACGGTTTAACCTGCAACAGGAAGTACTGGAGCAAATGAGGACTCTTCTAGATCACATGCAATCTTGCAAATAGTACTAAAACATAGGAAAAACAGAAAGAAGTTTCATGGTATCTTTTAAGAGTCTTATGCCTATTATACTTTAACCATGGCCTTATAGAAATTTCGTAAATTTTCTCAGGAAAGCTCAGTTTTATCGATTTAGCGGGCAGTGAACGCGGTGCTGATCGAGGCGACGCAGATAAACAAACGAGGCATGCATATTATCATGTTGATGACAAATTCCTTTTTGCAATTGCATTACTGAAAAAGAATGTTATGTTGTAATTCCGATCTACAGGATGGAAGGTGCCGAAATTAATAAAAGTTTGTTAGCATTGAAGGAATGTATTCGTGCGCTCGATCAAGATAAAAGGCACACTCCCTTCCGTCAAAGCAAACTAACACAGGTAAGTTTCAAATGATTTCGAAGTTTCTCTAATTACCCTCAAATTCATTGTGACCTTTGATGTAATTAGGTGTTGAAAGATTCGTTTGTTGGAAATTCGCGAACTTGCATGATTGCAACGATATCTCCAAATATTTCAAACAGTGAGCACACCCTTAACACACTTAGATATGCGGACAGGTATATTGTGTTTGTTAGATACTTGATGTTATGGTTTATGATAAATAATTTGTTATGCTTAATGATGGATTAATAGAGTTAAGGAACTAAAATCGGAACGAGATCGTGCAGACCGTGTGGTTGCTGGACTCGGATTAACAGCAAACGAACTCCAGGAATTAACTGAAGAGCAACGACAACAATATTACAATGAGGCAAATGCACAACTGGAGGCAGAAGGAGATTATGGCAATTATGAGGGATATGATGATGTTTATGAAGGTTATGAAGAAGATGATAATGTATACGATGATGAAGAAGCATCGGATTTCTTTGAAGAGGAATTTCCTAGCGATGAAGACAACGACCTGTTTGGCGAAGAGTTGCCATCGGATGGCATTGTTGATGAAGACTTTATCCACGATAATCCCGGTGCAACTTCTAGTTCACTTGAGAATGATAACGATTCGTCTATCATCTCCAATTTGACCATCACCGATTCTCCAGCCCCTTATCAAA